CCATCTGCCAGCTGCAAAAGGCCCCCCTACTGGGATCAGCACGCATCATTCGCTGATACATCACACAGTACTAGACACTTGGGAAGGGCCCGACGCGTGATCCAATACAACAGCCAGCAGAGTGATCTGGTTTGTTGTGGTGTTGTGTTAGGCAATCCCTTGTTGGCTGAGTAGGATAGTCTTCCAGGATCAGTGTGCTGGTGGGTCCGTAGGGGACTGTGGAGCCCTATTCTTGACCTGCATCTTCTCCCGCAGTGACAACATTGGTTTCCAGGTGGAAGGCGGTCTCAGTCGGGGTTGGCATGATGCGCCTTCCTCTTGGCACATTTCTCTCTTTCGCCCTCCATTCGTGCCTCTTCGAATTCTGCAGCACTGCTGGTCACAGCTGGCTTCCACTTAGATCGCTCAAGGGCCAGGGCTTCCTAGTTCTTAGTGTCAGAGTTTTTAAGGTTGGCTTTAAGCCCATCTTTAAATCTCTTTTCCTGTCCACCAACATGTACTATCTTGTTGTGCAGGGGTCCTCAAACTAAGGCCCGGGGGCCGGATACAGCCCTCCAAGGTCATTTACCCAGCCCTCACTCAGGGTCAACCGAAGTCTGAAATGACTTGAAAGCACACAACAATCCTATCTCATCAGCCAAAAGCAGGTCCACACTTCCCATTGAAATACTAATAAGTTTATATTTGTTAAAATTGTTCTTCATTTTAATTATTGTATTGTTTTTAAATGGTTTTTGCACTACAAATAAGATATGTACAGTGTGCATAGGAATTCATGTTTTTTTCAAATTATAATCCGGCCATCCAACAGTTTGGGGGACTGTGACCTGGCCCTTTGTTTAAAATGTTTAAGAACCCCTGTTGTTGTGTATCAGTAATAATAATAATAATAATAATAATAATAATAATAGTACTTACTTACTTACTTACTTAGGCGATCCCTCGTAGTCCGAGGATGATGGTCCTCCAAAAGTGGTAACCTAGGGGTGGATCTGTAGGTGGCTGTGGACAGAGGCGGCCCTAGGTAATTTTCAATAGTAAGCAAACAGTATCCCCCACCCCCCAAACCAATAACTAATATATATTTTCTGTTCGTCATGGGAGTTCTGTGTGCCATGTTTGGTTCAATTCCATCATTGGTGGAATTCAGAATTCTCTTTGATTTTAGGTGAACTATACATCCCAGTAACTACAACTCGCATATGTCAAGGTCTATTTCCCCCAAGAGCGCCTCAAGAGCAAAATCAACTATACTACAAATGCTTCCTTTGCATAATGAGTTGAGCCGCCCCTGGCTATGGAGCCCTATTCTTGACCTGCATCTTCTCCCACAGTGAGGGCATCAGTTTCTAGGTGGATGGTGGTCCCGGTCAGGTGGGCTTGACGTGTTTTCCTCTTGGTACATTTCTCTCTTTTGTCCTCCATTCATGCTTTTTCGAATTCTGCAACACTGCTGGTCACAGCTGGCTTCCACTTAGATCGCTCAAGGGCCAGGACTTCCTAGTTCTCGATGTCAGAGTTTTTAAGGTTGGCTTTAAGCCCATCTTTCAATCTCTTTTCCTGCCCACCAACATGTACCCATCTTGTTGTGTATCAATAATAATAATAATAATAATAATAATAATAATAATAATAATAATAGATAGATAGATAAATAGCCACTTTGTGTCTCATTGGAGCGAAAAAGTGGGGTATAAATAAACATATAATAATAATGAAAATAATAATAATACACTCTTTTTTTGGTCATGTCAGGAGCGACTTGAGAAACTGCAAGTCGCTTCTGGTGTGAGAGAATTGGCCATCTGCAAGGACATTGCCCAGGGGACGCCTGGATGATATGTTTTTATCATCTTTGTGGGAGGCTTCTCTCATGTCCTCACATGAGGAGCTGGAGGATGGACTGCTGCCTGACAAGTCAGCAGTTCGAATCAGGGGAAAGCAGGTTGAGCTCCCTCTGTCAGCTCCAGCTCCCCTGCAGAGATATGAGAGAAGCCTCCCACAAGGATGCTAATACATTCTAATACTAATAGATGCATAGCTGCTTTGTGTTCTCATTGTGGGGAGAAAAAGCAGGGTATAAATTAACATAAACATAACAATAATGGGGAAAAAACCAAACTATTTCACCTTGTGCATGATGATAATGGTGATGATAATAACAATACACAATTAAATGTTGCTGTTTTATTATAGAAATTATCTTTTGCCCCAGATAATTATTATTATTGATTGTAGTTACCAGCCCAGGCCAACTTGGGCCCTCTGGGTGTTTTGGACTACAACTCCCACAATTCCTAACAGCCTACCGGCTGTTAGGAATTGTGGGAGTTGTAGTCCAAAACACCCAGAGGGCCCAAGTTGGCCCATGCCTGCTACAGCTGCATTGAGCCAGGTGTCAGTTCTGTGCGTGAGCCTCAAGAGGGCTTTGCAAAGGCGCTTTCAACGGGAGCCTCGTTGGCGCAGTAGGCAGCGCGTCAGTCTCATAATCTGAAGGTCGTGAGTTCGAGCCTCACACGGGGCACGCCCGGAATATTTTGTGTCTACTCAGAATAAGTGCAATTGGAGCTAAAACTCATTATTTTTTCTCTCTCTTTCTCTAATTTTTTTCGAATTTTTGGCAAAAATATTGCACCAGAATTTATTCCGCACGACTAGGCCTAGAGGTGGGGCTCTCCTTGTCCATCAAAGCCTCGGGGGCGTGGCCTTAATGAGTATCACCCAATCACTGTTCCAAGGGGGCGTGGCCTTATTTGACAGACTATGCCTCTGACGTCAGGAGGGAAAGACTAATCATGGAGATTATCGGAAAGCTTGGGCCAATAGCAACGCGTGAGAGAAAAAAAAGGCGAAGAAAGCGCTGGGCTGAGATTGGTCAAAGTGGCCACTTTGCAGCCCGCCTCTGTCCAATGATTGGTTAATAGGGTGAGGCCGCATTGTTGCGATTGGTCGAAGATAGTATTGTGGGGTGTGGCTGAGGAGAGTGGTGCTGCTTGACAGAGACAGAAAGATAGAAGGGGGAAGACGGAGGCGAGATATGATTGGGCGAGAGGAAAGAAAGAGGCGGGAGTTATTCAATGATTGGACAACAGGATTAGCCGGCCTCCTGTAATTGGCGAGAGAGAGAGAGAGAGAGAGAGAGAGAGACTAAAAAGAGTAAGGCGATATATAATTGGTGGAGAGGGTGAGGCGGCGTGCTATGATTGGTCAGTGCCATTTTGCTTCACTTGGAGGGTTGGGCCGCTCAGGAGACAAAAAAGGGGCGGATATAGATCGCCTGTGATTGGACATGAGGGCGAGACCGCTGTTCTGTGATTGGTGGCGAGTTAGGCAGCGTGCTATGATTGGCCGGAACCATTTGGCTTTCGCTTGGAGGGCGGGACCCCTCACGAGAAATAGAAGGGCAGCAATAGAAAGAGAAGGGAGGCGGGAGCTGCGTATTGATTGGACAATAGCATTAGCCGGAGTGCTATGATTGGTCGGTGCTATTTGGCTTTCGCTTGGAGGGCGGGACCCCTCGCTAGCGACAGAAGGAAGGCAATAGAAAGAGAAGGGATGCGGGAGCTGCGCAGTGATTGGACAATAGCGTTCGCCGGCGTGCTATGATTGGTCGGTGCTATTTGGCTTTCCCCTTGGAGGGCTGGGCCACTCAGGAGAGAGAAAAAAAGGCGGATACAGCTCGCCTGTGATTGGACACGAGGAGGAGGCCGCTTTTCCGCGATTGGCGGAGGGCGAGGCAACTCGCCGGCGATTGGCTGAGGCGTGGGCGGGGCCGCGCGCGTGCCGGCTTCCCTGTCAGTCGCGGCGTTGACAGCCGTGAGGTAAAGTTGGCGGAGCGATGGCGGTGTGCGCTCGCCTCTGCGGCGTGGGCCCGGTGAGGGGGTGCCGGCGGCGGGCGGCGCAGCGGAAAGGGACCTCCGGGGACAGCAGTGAGCCGGACACTGACCCGGAAGAAGGCGGCGGCGGTTGCGGCGACGGAGGAGGGGAGGCCTCGGAGGACGAGGCCCGCGAGGAGCGCATCGAAGGCCCCTCGCCCGCGCCCCCCCGCCGCGCCCCGCTCTCCCTCCTCGAGCTGCCCCCCGAGCTCCTGGTCCAGATCTTCGGCTCCCTGCCCGGGCCCGACCTGCCCAGCCTGGCCTGCGTCTGCACCGCCTTCCGCCGCCTCCTCCGCACAGACACCATCTGGCGGCGCCGCTGCAAGGAAGGTCGGTAGGCCGCGCCAGGCCGGGGACTCCCCTCGCTCCTTCCCCCGTCGCTCTGGAGCAGGCCCGCGCCAACTTGGGCCCTCCCTCCGGGTGTTTTGGACTCCAACTCTGGCCCCTTCCTTTTCCTCCTTAGCCGCTTAAGCGGAATTGTGGGAGTTGGAATCCAAAACACCAAGAATAGCGCCTGCTATTATTATTTTATTATCTATATTTCTCCCTGGAAAGGAACTCAAAGGGCTTAACACGAAAGCATCACTGAGATACTGTATATACTCGAATATAAGCCTAGTTTTTCAGCCCCTTTTTTAGGCCGAAAAAGTTGCCCTCGGCTTATACTTGAGTCATATTTATTATTTTACTCTGTCATTACTATTTATTTATTTATTTACAGCGCTTCTTTGCCGCCCTTCTCACCCCGAAGGGGACTCAGAGCGGCTTACAATATATATTTTCATACAATATATTATATTATTAGCATAGTACAATATCAGTATATATTACTATATTGCACTATACCATTATATTGTAATATTATTAGTAATATTACATGTAATGTAAATATATAATTATAATTATAATATTGAAGTATTATTACTAGTATTATATTGTATTACATTATAATATTATAAATATTGTATGTATATACAATATACTATATTATATTATTATATATATTGTATATTTATTTTATTCTATTATTATTATTATTATTACATTTATTATCTTGTATTGTCGAAGGCTTTCATGGCTGGAATCACTCAGTTCTTGTGGGTTTTTTCGGGCTATATGGCCATGTTCTAGAGGCATTTCTCCTGACGTTTCGCCTGCATCTATGGCAAGCATCCTCAGAGGTGAGGTCTGCTGGAAACTGGGGAAAGGGGTTTATATATCTGTGGAATGACCAGGGTGAGACAAAGGGCTTTTGTAAGTTGGGCTAGGTGTGAATCTTTCAACTGACCACCTTGATTAGCATACAATGGGCTGACTGTGCCTGAATCAAGGTGGTCAGTTGTAAGATTCACACCTAGCCCAACTTATAAAAGTCTTTTGTCTCACCCTGGTCATTCCACAGATATATAAACCCCTTTTTCCCCAGTTTCCAGCAGACCTCACTACCTCTGAGGATGCTTGCCATAGATGCAGGCGAAACGTCAGGAGAAATGCCTCTAGAACATGGCCATATAGCCCGAAAAACCCCACAAGAACTGATTTATTATTTTATTATTGTTGCTATTACATTTATTATTTTACTCTATTATCGGCATTATTACATTGGCATTATTTTACTCTATTATTATTTTATTACATTTATTTTACTCTATTTATTTTTATTATCATTATTACATTTATTATTTTACATTATTATTGTTATTACATTTATTTTATTCTATTATTATTATTACATTTATTATTTTTATTATTGTTGTTATTACATTTATTATTTTACTCTATTATTGGCATTATTACATTGGAGCCCCCAGTGTGTTAAACCCCTGTGCCGGCAGGACTAAAGACCACAGGTCACAGGTTCGAATCCGGGGAGAGGTGGATGAGCTCCCTCTATCAGCTCCAGCTCCTCATGTGGGGACATGAGAGAAGCCTCCCACAAGGATGATAAAAACATCAAATCATCCAGGCGTCCCCTGGGCAACGTCCTTGCAGACAGCCAATTCTCTCACACCAGAAGCGACTTGCAGTTTCTCAGGTCGCTCCTGACACGACCAAATAAATAAATTATGGCATTGGCATTATTTTACTCTATTATTATTTTATTACATTTATTTTACTCGATTTATTTTTATTATTATTACATTTATTATTTTACTTTATTATTGTTATTACATTTATTTTACTCTATTATTATTATTACATTTATTATTTTACTCTATTATTGGCATTATTACATTGGCATTATTTTACTCTATTATTATTTTATTACATTTATTTTACTCTATTTACTTTTATTATTTTTACATTTATTATTTTACTTTATTATTGTTATTACATTTATTATTTTACTTTATTATTATTGGAAGGATACATAAACACATTTACACTGAAAAAGGTTAGAATAATGGTTTAATCAAAGCTGGTCAGTCTTATTTTAAATTACAGTTTTATGTAAACATTGACAAACATTTAACCTACTGTTTCCTCAATTAATGTAATTTTATTGGTATCTATATTTATTTTGTATTACCAGTAGCTGCTGCATTTCCCACCCCTGACTTATACTCGAGTCAATAAGTTTTCCCATTTTTTGGTGGTAAAATTAGGTGCCTCAGTTTATATTCGGGTCGGCTTATACTCGAGTATATATGGTGTATACACACACACACATATCATATACATATCTAAGCCAATCTGTATAGATCGAGGTGTTCCTTTCCATTTGACTTAAGCTGTGGAGAGTACCACATATTAATATATCATATAGAGTGATGACGAGAGAGACGCTGAATATTATATATATATATATATATATATAATGCAGTGTTTTCTATTTCTCTGGTTATGCATGTTAAGCTAAGCTGCTGAACTTGCTGACCAAAGGGTTGTGGTTCGAATCTGAGGAGCAGGGTAAGCTCCTGCTATTAGCCCCAGCTTCTTCCAACCTAGTAGTTTGAAAACGTGCAAATGTGAGTAGATCAATAGGTATCACTTCGGTGCTCCATGCATTCTCTTTGGCTTAGAAATGGAGATGAGCACCACCCCCTGAGTCGGACACAACTGGACTTAATGTCAAGGGTAAACCTTTACCTTTATATTATATGTATAATACATTATATGTAAATTATATGCACTTTTCTCTTTCTCAGTGTATACATGATAAGTAAAGTAAAATAGCTATATTTATTCACACACATATATGCATATGTATATCACACATATCTATATAGAGAGAGTGTATATATATATATATATATAATCATATACATATATAAGCACATCTGTATAGATAGGAGCCCCTGGTGGCGCAGTGGGTTAAACCCCTGTGCCGGCAGGACTGAAGACAAACAAGTCGCAGGTTCAAATCCGGTGAGAGCGTAGATGAGCTCCCTCTGTCAGCTCCAGCTCCTCATGCGGGGACATGAGAGAAGCCTCCCACAAGGATGGTAAAACATCAAAACATCCAGGCGTCCCCTGGTCAACGTCCTTGCAGACAGCCAATTCTCTCACACCAGAAGCGACTTGCCGTTTCTCAAGTCGCTCCTGACACAACAAAAAAATCTTTTTTTAAGAGACCAACCTTCTGTTTGACTAAAGCTTTAGAGACAATCACATATAACATTAATACAACACACACACATGCTCAGTCTTATCTGTATATGTGTGAGTGTGTGTATATATACATGTATTAATGCTATGAGTGTTCCTCTCTCTATATATATGTATATATACCATATTTCTTCCATTCTAAGATGCCATCGATTGTTGGACACACACTAACTTCAGTTTCCACAACAGCAAAAAGCTTTATATATACAAATAAAAACACCTGCAATTCTAAAGCTCACCCTATTTTTAGAGATGTTTATATGAGAGGGGGCATCTTAGGATCGAGGAAATGCAGTGTATACGTTAAAGCCATGTGCAGTTCTCTCCATATGAAAAAGGGTATCGTGGGGCACTTGGATCTGTGCAAAGTAAGGGAAGTTAGACAGTGTCAGGCCTCTGAAATGTGCTCTAGGTAAAAAAGTATCAAGGGCTGGGTCCTTTGTTCCTCAGGACTAATAGATTATTTTATTATGACAACAGTTGCCATAGACTAAAAACAACATCATAATGCAAACAGTTTCTGTTTACAAAAGCTTTTGCCCACAATATATTTAAGGTGTAGTTGTAAGTTCATCTGTTTCTTGCTGCAAAAGCAACAAAATCAATAGTAACATCATCTTGAGCATGTATATATGCTCAAGATACTGTTACTATTTGTTTAAAAAGCAGTCCTAAATGAAAAGTGGTTTCCCAACTTGGGAGCACACACACAAGGTTTTGTTGTTGTTGTTTTTTCAAATCAAAGCATTGGATCATTTAGAAAATAGTGTTTTGATTTTTAAAGGCACCGGTCTGTCAATATTTACACTTAATTGACACTGTGAGTTTTGGTTACAAAGGGGTTTTGTCACAAAGTTTAACATCACGATGACTGAGAAATGAGTCTGCAGAGATCTTGTAGTATCTTAGAGACCAACTGAGAGAACAAAATTGTTAGAATATCCTTTTGTCAATGGGATGGGGCAACAGAAGACAGGTGTATGGCTTAACTGGCAATTGGCCTTGCCTAAGGCAAGCATCTGATTTACCTGAATTTGTTCTGTAGGTTTGTAACTGTGTTTCAAAGGAGCATACACAAGCCTCAAAGCAAAATAGACAAGATGAATCACAAAGTTACTGTCTTTAACATCCCTAGTTTCTTTTGATTTGGAAATCTAAATGCAGTCAGACTGGATGAAGGAATACTAGATAATAACATGAACTTTCAGGTATGGCTAGGAGGGAATGATTCTTGAAATCCTTTGACTGAATTCATAGTAATGGTCTGGATTGTGTTCTGACTATTGTGTGGTAGATTACAAGACTAAATGGACCTAACCCTGAATCCTAAAGAAGGAGAAATGTCCTTGTCATGCCATGCACAAGAAGAATGGAGAGTTTGTGTTCTTTATTTCATTGCAATTTGAAGACTGGGTTACCATTTCAGTCATTTTGAACTTCCTGGTGAAGACTGCCCCCCTCTTCTTCGTCCCTCTCTTCTGTTTGGGGCACAAAGTTGTCATGTGTGGTGGGTTCTGCCTTAAAACAAGAGACTCTGTTTCTTCTAGTTTTGTCATTGTATTTTTAGTAAACACTTACTGTTGTCTGCAAACGAGTGGCTGGGGATGTTGAGTGGTTGGGGATGGCACGGAAACATCGTGGTTCCAGCCTCAAGAATGAATGGGCAATATCAGATCAAAGAGGGAAGTCAGGAAAGGAAAATCAGGGTGAGTTAGAAAAACTTTAGTTGTGGTCAGGTAAGGTAACAGATACATTTATCAGAGGGGACTTTGTTTACAAACAGATATCTCAGTCTTACAAAAAGAAAAAAGAAGAAGAAGGTGGTCAAAAAGGAATCTTAGACCCCAGAACAAAAGATCTAGGGTGCAGCCAGATTTTTCTGTGTCTAGTTTGAAATAGGCCGCAAAACTTCTACTCATTATTCAGTTCATTTGCTGACAAATGATAGATTTCCATTTTGTTCTTACTATCACAAATACATTTGTATATTAGTGCAAAATCATTATATAAATCAGGTGTATACAGCTATGACCTTGGAAGCTAAGAAGACCCCACCAACAACCAGAAACATTGACCTCTTGGCCATTTTAATCTTGCAAATTTTGTAAGTAGAAGAAACAATTAATAGAGGCTGGTGGTCTCTGTTTGGCAATATATATATATATATGAAAAAGTCTGTCCAGGTGTTTATGACATCACTGCCCACCACCTAAGTATGGCATTTGAAAGAGAAAACCACAGGCATAAAAATACATTTCCATGTGTGTAATGTGAAAAAGTGATGGGAACAGTAGTAGGAAGTTGTAGGGGGAAATAGCTCGGTATATAAATCTCCCTTCTGACATTCAGATTGTAGGAAATGGGATAAATCCTTTGTGCAGAGGCTACCCTCACTGTTGGTGGTGTTACCTTTCCATTGTCTTCCCACCCCATTTTTGTTCAGAAATTGCAAATATTACAAATCAAGGGAGCATTTCCTATTGCAGTCAGTGCCCAACTGAACATTTCCTAGCAAGGTGACATTCTGTTCTGTGCTTTCTCCTTCCATTTAGCATTGCATTTGGAGCTGTGCCCATTCGTGAGCGGGCCTATTCCCTCTCTCTTACAAGTCCATGGCAGCAGGTATGAAGTCATGCGTTTTAGACCTGCAAGAGAAAACTTTGGGTGGCAGGAGAGTGAACCTCGGCGTGCAGCCGGCGTCAGTCTTTGTCTGAGGTGGAGTCTTTGGGCATATTAAGATTGCTGTCTGCAGCAGTAAAGGAAAGCTTCTTATTTATGTGATAGCTCCGCTGAGGGAGATGTGCCAGCATTGACTCATCCCTCTGGACAGGGTGTAGCTTGGAACACTCTAAATTGATTTTTACCATCCTATTGCTTCAGACTGCTGCAGTCTTCTTTGCCCAAGATGATTTTGGACAAATGCCATTTTATGCTGTCATAGTTTTCTGGAGGTGAGGATAAACAGGGATGTCCCTCCTAGGACTATTTAGTGTCAAGGCACTTGTTCTACCAGGCCTCTCTATTGCTCTGAGCTGTTGATGGTTCTGTTCTAAAGAAGGCATGGGCAAACTTCAGCTCCCCAGCTGTTTTGGACTTCAACTCCCACAATTCCTAACAGCCAGTAGGCTGTGAGAGTTGGAGTCCAAAACACCTTTAGGGCTGAAGTTTGCCCATGCCTGTTCTAATATCTTTTCTGTAGTGAAAAGCAGCCTGGACTGTCTGTTTCTGTGCACGTAGTATTTTGTGAATCTTATGACATAGGTTTTTTGAAGTGTCTAAGGATTTGATGGTCTACTTTCCCTAGGTAATTGATTAGCCATTGAGCTATGATAAACTTTAGAAGTTTGGATCCTTTGTGTGTCTTATCACCCTAAGGTTGGTTACTTAATCATTCCTAGCTAGGCTTCTTTTAAAGCAGATCCATCCTTGCTTAGGTTTGTACTATCCCCAGTAGTATTTCCCTATTCAGCTTTAATCCTGAAGGAGATAAACCTCAGACTTTTCTGTATTTCCAACGTATTTCTTCTACTTCAAAGTTTCTACTGGAGTTCTGTGATGGGTTGGTGTGTGTGTGTCACTAAAATAGAGAAAGGGTGTGTGTATTAAAAGGAGGGAAGTCTGGCCGAAATAATACATTTCTCAACAGAATACACTTTCTGGGAGCTTGAATTTCACATTACTTACTAAAACAATGACCTCATTTGAACATATATTGAAAAAACCACAGCTCCTGACTTTTTTTCTCTCATATCAGGAGCAACTTGAGAAACTGCAAGTCGCTTCTGGTATGAGAGAATTGGCCACCTGCAAGGATGTTGTCCAGGAGATGCCCGGATGTTTTGATGTTTTACCATTCTTGTGGGATGCTTCTCTCATGGGGAGCTGGAGCTGACATAGGGAGCTCAACCCGCTCTCCCTGGATTTGAACTGCTGATGTGTCGGTCTTCAGTCCTGCTGGCACAACAGTTGAACCCACTGTGCCACCGAGGGCTCCTGAATTGTGATAGAAGGAAGATGAGATTTTTTTTTCCTTTTCTCTTTTTAAAGGGATTATCTGAACTTTCTCACAGTACTTCTTCCATATGCCTACTCTTCTTTTGGCAGCTTTGTCAGGGATGGGCAGTCAATTATTCCTTAGGCTCCAAGGATATGGAGCCTAAATCCAGTTGTTAGTCTAAGTAGATCAGATTTATTGAATCAGCAAGAACCTGTTAAATAAACGCCTACATGAAGTCTGTTGATTTATTTGTTATTGCATGCCTCTAAGTCTATTCTGACTTATTGCAACCCTTCCAGTTTGTTCGTAGAGGGTTTATTTTAGCTTTCTTCTGCAGATCAAAGAGTGTGACTTGCCTTAGTTCACCCAGTGGGTCCCCATGGCAAGCAGGGAATTGAGCTTGAATGCTGAGTGGGGATCTAGACAGAGAAATTAACGTACAATAGTGTGGCTCCCTCCATTATCCTCAAATGGCACATTTTGTTGTGGATCCTCTTTCAGATGTGCGTCCAGAATAAGTACTTTGTGTGCTGAATTTTTAAATGGCTTCTGCAAGTCAGAAGCTGTTGGAACAAATTAGAATTCATGAAGCGGCTGCAAATCCTCCCTTCCCCCAGCCGTGCCTCATGTTTTCTAGATGAGCATCATGTCAGATGATTCTCTGGTGTCTGATATCTGGCAGGTGCTGGACATGTAAAGCGACTGCTTTAATCCCCTACTCTAGAAAGCTGGTCTGGTTTTAGCTAGTACATCCAAAGCCTGCAGCACAAATGACTTGGATTGTTCTTCAAACCACCAGGCAGGCATTTGATCTGTTCTGACTTTGCATACTTTCTGTTTTGCCCTATATTTCTGCACTACTCTCCTATATCTGTGGACCTTGCAAGAATCTTTTTCCAATTGATCCATTTGCTAACTTCTAAAAATTGCTTTTCTGTTTTAAACAAATGGCAGAAAATGCCATGTTTATGTGCATGTCTCTATACTGGGCATAGACAAAATTTCTAGCTTGGGGCCCGTATGGTGGATCGGAGCAGGGTGGGTGGGCCGGGAGGAAGCTCTCCCCAAGCCCCCTCCCTGCCCTTTCCTCCCCTTCCTCTTCTCATTTGGAGGAAGGAAGTGAAGGAATAACGAGAAAGGCTTGGGTCCCAAAAAGGTTGTCCTTGATCAGGATGAGATGGTGGACGGGAGAGAAGTGTATCCATGAGACCTCATATTACCTACTCCTGATACAGAATCCTAGAGCTAGAAGAGACCCCCAAGGGCCATCCAGTCTAACCTCCTGCCATACAGGAAGGTACAATCAAACCACTCCCGATAGACAGCCTCTGCGGAAAAACCTCCAGAGGAGGAGACTCCGCCACACTCCCAGGCAGCCTAGGGCACTCTCCAGGAAGTTCTTCCTAATTTTTTCAGTCCAATCTCTTTCCCTGTCATTTGAACCCATTGCTCCTTTCTTATGCCCTGGTCTCCAGAGCAGCAGAAAGTCAGTTTTCTCCCTCCCTCCTCCTCCTCCTCCTCCTCAATGGGGCACCCTTTGAAGTCTTGAAACATGGTTCTCATGTTCCTTCTCTATCTTCTCTTCTCCCAGCTAAACATTCCCCAGGATGAAAGGAGGAAGGGAAAAGAGAAGGAAGGAATTGAGGGAGAGAGGAAGAGGAGGATGGAAGTGTGGAAGGAAATGGAAGGAGGGAGGAAAGAGAGAAGGAACGAAAGACAAAAGGGAAGGAAGGAAGAAGAAGAAAGGGAGAGAGGGAGAAAGGAAGGATGAAATGGTGGAAGAGAAGGATGGAAGGTGGAAGGAACGAGAGAAGAACGGATAGAATGGTGAGACACAGGAGGGCCTGAGAAAAGAGTCCAAGGGGCCTCATCTGGCCCCCAAGCCTGGGTTTGCCCATAGCTGCTCTATATGGAAATGAGCAGCAATACACAATTAACTAAAACAGTTTGCATTGTTTAAAGAAGATTAGGCTGTGCCCATATTTAAAATGTAGGATATTTCATTTGAGAAGAGTGTGTGTTTAGTATCTTGCCTCTGATGTCTACAAATGCACAATCTTTTCCTAGCCATTAAAGGAGGAAAGTCACCTGGAGAGAAAAAAAATTGAGTTCTGTGGAGGCTTCAAGACTTGTGGACTGTAGCCTGCTTTATCAGATTCGATGAAGCAATGACCTCATAGTCTTTAGTTCATCTCTACTCCCATTCATGTTTACTGTTCATACAGCTTATTGTCAATCAGATAAATGGGGGTATAGTCCATGACAGACTTATGCTGCATCAAACCAAAGTGGAAGCCTACAGGTCCAATGAAAAAGGCAGCCTTCCATTCTTGCCAAGGGACACTAGGCGGCATTACTATCTTTTCTGTCCAATTGCAGAATATGGTGTCTGCGAGAACCTGCGGAAGCTGGAGATCACAGGAGTGTCGTGTCGAGATGTCTACGCTAAACGTAAGTGACAAGTCTATGCTCTTGCAGGAGTTGCGTTTCTAAAAAGGGACTTGCAGTCTTTAACTTGAGTGACTTAAAAGTGTCAAAGCAAACCTGCAGATCAACAGCCACAGCTTCCCTTATCTCTGAAGCCACAGTGAGCATGGTGCTCCAGAAATGTCAAGATTTCAAACAACTCTGCCTTTCTATCTCTTCTGCCATGTATTAATGGCAGAAGATTAGTAGCAGACAGCTGCTTCTGTCATGAATAACTTTTCAATAACTTTAAAGCATAGGTTCTTTTTATTGCAATTTCCAGTGTGAGAGGGTAGATCAGAACTTTTACACAAAGAATGACATATGCGACTACATTGGATTCACAAGCACCTTATAGTTACATTGGCTAACAAACAGACAAATGAGAATTGAATTTTTATTCAGCATTCACACACATGTACATTCATCCATCCTCATGCATCCAAATATTATCATATTCTTTTCTCCCTCCTTGGAGAAGCACCTGTTAGGCCAGATCCTTCTTTCCTGCAGCCTGCCAACGCATAGTTCCAAAACTTCCATAATGCCAAAACTTCAAAACTCCAAAATGCATCCTTTTCCTAAGCAGAATGCCAAGTACCAGATATCTGTTTTCCATACAGCAGAACCTGATTCCCTGCACAAAATCCAGGACTCCAAAATGCACTTCTTTCTCTTCCCTTGAGAAAGAAGGCCAAAGTGACCAGACTGCTCCCGTACAAATCTGCCAGTCTCCATATGTACACACTCTCTCTCCTTCCCATGGAGCAGAACATAGCGGATGGAACAGACTCCTGCGTTCTGCTACACTTGAGAATTATTAGATTGAGTCTTTTATAAGAATATTCTTCTGATGTCATCCCAAAGTTGTAAATTAATGATAGACGTCTTCCATCCTGGCTCCATCTCAGTTTCCTGGCCAGATGTTGATTCTTCTTCTTTATTGGTGTTAGCCTTGTGTTGACTTCCTCCTTCACATAATAAATGTTGTAAACATTTCCTTAACCACTGTCACAATTATCACAATTTACTTTTCAGTTCTCTTTAGCAACTTTTAATTACAGTCTAGCAAACAGGTCATTGCAGGTCTTAATATTTTACTGGTGTTTCCAAAATTATTAGCTCCACTCATTTATTTTTCCACTCCATTCATACCCAAACATATCAAATCCACATTTATCAAATTTACATATTAAATTTTCGTGACACTTCCTCCATCCATGTTATTCAGATCTGGTAGGATTTTGCCTTGAGGCTTTGGATAGATAGGATACCAAGATTAAACAGATGACCAGCTTGTTTGGAGTTGGTTTTGAGACTACTGTAGACAGTGTGCAACCTCACACTTGACAAACAAAACCTTCCTTGCTTTGTGCACATTGTCCCTCTAGTGTGGAAATCAAAACTCCTTCTCTTGCTCATGCATTATGTTTAGTCTCAATACCATCTTGAGTTTAGTACTGAACATAACCAGCTGCCTTAGGTAAAGCTATCACCAAGGTACATGTTGATGTGATCATCAGGATAAGCACTTGGATTGCCATTTATTTGTCTTAACTGGCAGAAAGATATCCAAACGATAGAGTCTGGGTCTTATTTGACTCATTTTAAAGAACGTTCTTACTGTGGCATCCCTTTATTAAACATTCAAGGAAATGGCAACCTGACGAATTCTTTCTCATCACTTTTATTTTTGAATGCAGCATAACAATTCTTCCTCTACTTCTCCAACACATCTCAGGGTTGAACAAGTGGGTTATAGGTGGCAAGAGAGGCTGGTAAGATGGGTACAAAACTTCTTATGCTCACCCTGCTGTGTCTGCTCAGGTATAAACCCACGGGTGAAGTCAGGGCGTTTTATGAAAATCCTTCCCGACTACGAGCACATGGAATACAGAGATGTTTACACCTGCCGTATGTACCTTCTGTTGGCAAATGCTTTCTGCACTGTGTAAGCATGGAGTGTGCTTTCCTGACTATTTAATTGGCAAACAGAGCTTCCATAGGGCCTTTGGGGACTTGATAGGTGTTGAAGGACTGGTTTGGCCACCACAGAAGGCAAATCAAGCAGAATGTAATGTATCATGTTCCGCAATTGATGGTGGTTGGTGGTGGCAAGCCTAGCAGTTGGTGATGGAAGGGGTTAACGTAAGTCTTAGTTCTAAAGGGCTGAGTAATCTGTAAGTAAGAGTTTACAGGGGAAAGCAATTAAGGTTGGAGGCATGCAAGAAGTAGGTTGCAACTGAGTTTTACTGGTTATAAGGAGCTAGCTTGGAAACTGATCTTGAGAGATCACGTTGCCAGGGCTCTGCAGGTACGTAGGCAGAGGTGCACCAAAACTATTGCCCAGCTTGTGTTAAACTGCTTAATTAAAGCAGCACTTACTGTCTGGCTGTTTTCATAGTCCAAATGTAAAATATAAAGATTTTTTTCTTTGTCGTGTCAGGAGCGACCTGAGAAACTGCAAGTCGCTTCTGGTGTGAGAGAATTGGCTGTCTGCAAGGATGTTGCCCAGGGATGCCTGGATGATTTGATGTTTTATCATCCTTGTGGGAGGCTTATCTCATGTCCCTGCATGAGGAGCTGGAGCTGATAGAGGGAGCTCATTTGCCTCTCCCCGGATTCAAACCTGTGACCTGTTGGTCTTCATTCATGCCGGCACAGGGGTTTAACCCACTGCGCCACCCGGGGGCTCTAACATAAAGATAGCACTCAGCCACAAAATATAAAGCAAAGACTGATAGTAAACACCGGTGCAGATTCGAGAGAACACTGCAGTCAAAGGGTCCAGTCCAGTGGTCAAACACCGAGTGTTCAATGAGTGAAGTCCAAGGATACTGAAAATCCACAAACCTAGCGGAAAACCAGCAGCATCCACCACCAAAATAGGGCAAATAGTTTTCTCCCAGGATCAGTTTCCAAGCTAGCTCCTTATAACAAGTAAAACTCAGCTGCAGTCTATCTCTTGCATGCCTCCACCCTTAATTGCTTTCCCCCTGTAAACTCTTATTTACAGATTACGCAGCCATTTAGAACAAAGACTTAAATCAACCTGTTCCATCACCAACTGCTAGGCCTGCCACCACCAACCACGATCAACTGTGGAACATGATACATGACATAGAAGAAGATGGGGAATTATGATAGCCATAATAGGAAGGGAAGCCAGGGCTGCGTTTCCTCTCCATTCCTTGAGTGGGGAGTCCATTTCTCTCTTCTGTTTCCACTCTTTTGAGCCAAATTCAAAAGACCTGAGATAGAAACTGCTCCAGGAGGAGCAGAAGCAATGCTAGGCTGACGAGAAACTAGCCTGTTTCACTGCACCTTCCTGCACAGACCTTTACCTTAGGGGCCGGCTGGAAAACATCCTCCTTTTCTGTGCCTCTCCAACTCCTTTTAGTCTCTTTTCCTCAACACGGTACAGAAGCAATGTGAAAGGGGCGAACCAGACTCTTGTTTCCATTTCTGCGAAGTGGAGCAGGCAAAAAGCCAATACTTGATTCCTGCTGTTCTTTAGTCTTAGCGAATTAGTTGTGGGAATTTCTCCACCAGCCTTCAGAGGCCGTGGAGGCATAAGCAACCCAAGAGTTGCTTATTCTGTCAGGATTGTGAGAAACCCCAAAGGATAATTAATGACCTCCTTCCTTTCTTAAGAACAAGCATTTGCAGTAGTGTTCTCAAACATCCTATTTGTCCAGGGTGGCACACTGGATAGATAACAGGGTTGTTTAAAAAGTTATATTTTTTTGCCAAGTAATGGAATGGCGGAGAATGTTGCTGAAAAGCACTTAGCAAGCAGTGGGAAAAGGTATCTAACATTGCTAGGAAAAGCCCATGGGGGCATTTTCATGCTGCTTAGGTCAGCCTTTCAAGCTCTTTCTTACCCATAACTGCATTACTTGCAAAAAGCAGCTAGCAATGTTGACTATGCTGCAAACGGAACTTCTCCCACATCACCAGGAACAATCCCACACCCTTGGGCCTTGAAGCGTACTGCCCGTTCCTTTTCTCCTCTTTTCTTAATTCATTGCCATGTTGTTAATGGAATATTTATGCAAAAGGGGGGTGTGATTCACAAGGAAATAAGTTGTTATCCTATCACAGGCATTTTCTAGTCATCCTCACACAAACCCGATCAGGTAGGCCAGTATTTTCTCCCCTAATTTTGGAAGCAAGGATGGCATACTTAAGTTGACTTATACGGGCCATTCTTATTAGCAGAGGCAATATCATAATTGGAGACTTATTGATTCAGAGCTTAAGTTTTCAAGCTGCTAAATGACAGCAGACCTCAGCATTTAGTACAGTGACTGAGTTACTATGGTACTATGAGGACGAGACTAATGTTGAAGATCTGATTAAATGAAATCCATCTTTCCTGGGCTCTGGAACTTCCTTTAGCTTTCCTGCACCAGAATGGGAAACAAAGCTTGGATTGCGTGATCTGTGGGGTATTTTTGAGAAATTAACAAGTTGTATCAGCTGTGCTTAGGATCAGGGTTTCATGCACTCCTCTTGTGAATCTAGCCCAGGGATCCTCAAACTAAGGCCCGGGGGCCGAATGCAGCCCTCCAAGGTCATTTACCCGGCCCTTGCTTAGGATCAACCTAAGTCTGTAACGATTTGAAAGTACACAACAACAATAACAACAACAACAATCCTATCTCATCAGCCAAAAACAGGCCCACACTTCCCATTCAGATATTAATAAATTTATATTTGTTAAAATTGTTCTTCGTTTTAATTATTGTATTGCTTTAAGTGGTTTTTACACTACAAATAAGATATGTGCAGTGTGCATAGGAATTCACTTTTTTTTTCAAATTATAATCAGGCCCTCCAACAGTTTGAAGGGCTGTGACCTGGGACTCTGTTGAAAAAGTTTGGGGACCCCTGTTCTCGCCCGTAGAGCCGGAGCCCCCAGTGGTGCAATAGGTCAAACCCTAATAATAATAATAATAATCATCATCATCATCATCATCATCTTTATTTATACCTCGCCACCATCTCGCCAACGGGGACTCGGGGTGGCTTACATGAGGCCAAGCCCATACAACAAATTACAATAAAATAAGATACAAGTTACAATAAAATAAACATTGCAGAAAAATACAGAACATATGACTGTTCATTCGTTCAGTTGTCTCCGACTCTTCGTGACGACTGAACGAATGAACATATGACTACTATGAACAAAATAAAAAAAAAAGCAGTAAACCAAACATAATGACAGTGAGCGGGCCCTTGTGCCAGCAGGACTGAAGGCCGACAGATTGGAGGGAGATCGTGGATGAGCTCCCTCTGTCAGCTCCAACTCCTAATGCAGGGACATGAGAGAAGCCTCCCACAAGGATGGTAAAATCAAAACATCCAGGCGTCCCCTAGGCAACGTCCTTGCAGACGGCCAATTCTCTCACACCAGAAGCAACTTGCAGTTTCTCAAGTCGCTCCTGACATGGAAAAAAAAAGTCTATGGAGCTCGCCTACTGACAACTAGAGCAGATGACTTTTCCATTTCTGCATAACAGTTTACCAAAGGGATGCAGTTTTGTTCTAATACACTACATTGGCTGTGACCAAAAAAAAGCACGTTGCAAAAAAGCAAAACACTTTGTGTGTGCTTGTAAAACAGGCATGGGCAAACTTTGGCCCTCCAGGTGTTTTGGACTGCAACTCCCACAATTCCTAACAGCCTCAGGCCCTTTCCTTTTCCCCCTCAGCCTCATAAGCGGCTGAGGGGGAAAAGGAAAGATCCTGAGGCTGTTAGGAATTGTGGGAGTTGCAGTCCAAAACACTTGGAGAGCCAAAGTTTGTCCATGCCTGTTGTAGAATATAGAAACAACTGAAATTTATAGGACAGGTTGCTGAAATGCTTACTTACAACTGTATTCCTGGCAGTGTCGGATAATTGCCTACAGTGTAGATTTTGTTCTGCATAGCAAGGACATACCTCTAGGTCACGTTCCGGGATGAAGCATGTTTTGAGCTGTTCTAGCTGCAAAATTGGGTAATGCCTGGCCAAATGTCATGAAGCCAAGACTAAAACAAATGTCATGAAGCCAAGACTGTGAAGCTGGAAATCCCTAAACAGAAATCCTGCTGTCATTGCTTCTGCAAAATTATAAAAACTATAAAAACTATATAAAGTATAAAAATTATAAAAATTATAAAAATTATAAATTATAAAAGCATCAGCGAGGAAGACTCTGTTTCTGCCCTTTTCCAGTCTCTGCTCCCTTTCCGTGGCCTCCAGGGCTGTTTCATAAGCTGAAGCCAAAAAACAAAAACAAAAAAAACCCCCAAATGATTAATTTATATTAGCCTTGAGATTTCCATGAAAGTGGGGAGGGGATTTCATCTGCCTTGCAGCCTGTACTCCTCTTCATGATGAGCAGAAACAGAATATATTAGAATAAGCAGTTTGGCGTGAGGGCTGCTGTGATTTGCATAATTCCTGCAGGGCACAGAAGATGGGTTTTATGTTTTAGCGCCTGAGTCCCCAGAGCTCTGCTTTCCTGTCCCTTCTTGTGTGTTCTTCTTTGCTTCTGAGAATCTCCTTTCTATCTCATATCCCCTGCTCTTTTTCTTCCCCTCCTAATTCTGTAGTACTCCACCGGTACCGGCACATCCTGGGGCTGTGGCAACCGGATATTGGACCTTACGGGGGGCTTTTGAATGTGGTGGTGAGTAGTGGGACCTCTTGGATGTGATGTTGACTCTCATGTGAAGCGTTGCACTGTTTAGTGAGCTTAACCTCTCTCCTCCTAACAACGGAGGGAGTTTCCAGGCCTAAGCAAAGTTGAGAAATGGCTTATAATCATACCCCCCCCCCCCCCAAACCGATGGTTTCAAAATTGGGTTAAAAAAGGAACAGAAACCAAAAGTTGACAAACTCAGGATGTCTAAGAGCCAATTTCTTGCCCCCAGGGTGTCTTCAAGTCGTCCCCAGAGAACTTATATAATGCCCCCTTTTTTCGTTCAACAATAAATGTGAATTCTTCTTCATGGAAAAATAAGACATCCTCTGAAAATAAGACCTAGTGCATCTTTGGGAGCAAAAACTAATATAAGATACTATCTTATTTTTGGGGAAATTGTATTATTCAATAAAATTTATTTTTTTGGAGTGAAACTATGTTTGGGAGCTCTGCTTTCTTTAATAGAGCAGAATCACTATTCCCGGAAGACTTTAGGAGTTTCAGTTCTCCTTTGTTGATTTTGTTGGAAGGGTGCATTCAGTGTAGAAACGGGGTGTGCATGTGAGTGAACCTATGTGTTTCCCATCCCTGAATTAGAGATACTCATTTGGAACTTTACTCTAGGCAGGCAAGAGGACAGCTTTGGTCTTTGCTTGAAGAAATGGTATGGGCAGCTCTGGCAAAAAGGTTGCTCCGAAGCTCTGGAAAATATAGTTGAATAGGAGGCAGAAGGAACTCATTCAGTGGCTGCAACCCAAAGAGACCTTCCTTTGTGCTGGAATTATGAAAATACACGAAGAGCTGTGCAAGAGTGCAGAAATCTCTTGCCTAATTTCTCTTCTCTTAGTTGACCTGTGTTGTTTTGGTTGCTATTATTACTATGTATATTGTATTTTTGTTGTAAGCCGCCTCGAGTCCCTTTTAGGAGAAGGGGGTGGGATACAAATAAAGTTTATTATTATTATTGAAGGCTTTCAAGGCCGGAATCACTGGGTTGCTGTGAGTTTTCTGAGCTGTATGGACATGTTCCATAAGCATTTTTTTCCTGATGTTTCGCCTACATCTATGGCAGGCATCCTCAGAGGTTGTGAGGTTAGTAGTAGTAGTGGTAGTAGTAGTATTACTGTGGTTTGTATACAAAAGCATTTCACTCTGGTTTGCTAAAAAATGGGTTGTGTGTCTGTAAGAAAGAGGGAGCAGAAAATGGGGGGTTGAGAGGGAAGAACTGCATATTGCATTGCCATGGAACATGGCTGTATGGTTTGTTTATTTTCCTATCTCTGTATGAGTTCCCTCTTACAATTAGTTCTTCCCTCTTATCTCACCCGGAGTTTTTAAATCATTTTATGTACATGTGGCCCGCTCTCTGTCATTATGTTTGGTTCCTATGCTCTGTGTATATTGTTTTATATGTTTTGATGTTTTACATTTTAATGTTATGTTGTTTATTTTACTGCTATTTGTATTGTTATGTTGTAGTTTGCTGTTTGGGCTTGGCCTCATGTAAGCCGCTCCGTGTCCCCGTTGGGGAGATGGTGGCGGGGTATAAATAAAGTTTATTATTATATTATTATTATGTTCCAGAAGCATTTTCTCCTGACATTTCACCTGCACCTATGGCAGGCATCCTCAGAGGTTGTGAGGTTATTATTATTATTATTAGTGTGGTTTGTATACAAAAGCATTTCACTGTGCGTTGCTAGGAAATGGGACATAATTTGGATTTTCTGCCTCAAATAGTCATTGATACTTCCCCTTGGCCTTGGAAATGAGGGTTGTGTGCCTATAAGAAAGAGAGAGCAGAAAACCAAGGTTGAGAGGGAAGAGCTGCATATTGCATACTAGAGCTCAGGGTTGGATCCTCCTCCTTTTCTTCTCCCCGCTGAGAAGAGAGCTGCCAATTTGGAGGTGCTTTTCACCTCATTACTTTGAGGCTCTGTGTGGCTCTGCTCTCTTTATCAGCACAGCTGTTCTCTAGAGCTTAAAGAGCCTCAGGGGGCCAAAAGAACTGGCGAATTGGAAAGTTTATATAAAATGAGCTGCTCTCCACCTCCAGGAGTCTGCATGATGAGCGGCTGAGCTGTAGCGATATGGCAATATATTACCAGAAGGCAATTATCCAGCTTTGAAGAGGGCTAACCCTAACCTCAAAGGCCTTGGGGCAGAGCTGCCATTTGGGAAAGAAGCTTAGCTCTAGCGGGATGGAATCCCAAACAGGCCTTGACTTTCTCTCTTTTTGCCTTATCACATTCTTGTCAGGTGGATGGATTGTTCATCATTGGCTGGATGTACTTGCCCCCCCATGACCCTCACGTGGACGACCCCATGAGATTCAAGCCCCTCTTCCGGATTCATTTAATGGAGAGGAAGTGTGCCACGGTCGAGTGCATGTATGGCCACAAGGGACCCCACAGTGGGCATATCCAGGTGGGCAGCCTTTTGAATTCTGTCATCTATCCAGGTAATCACAGGTGGAGATAGAGCCTATCTGTTCCAAAAGCCTTTTGTGCTGAGGCCATTTGCAGCACTGTGTTCATGGGGGGTGGAGCGGTTATGGCTTATAATTGTACTTATTCATTTATCGTGTCAGGAGCAAACCAAACAGTTGTATTGCATTTTTAACAAACTAACTAACAAACCACAAAGTTTGCAAGCTTGGTAGTTGATTAAATGTCCTTTTACCAGTAGCTGGCCACTTGAAATGCCTCTGGTGTTACTATAAGAAGGTCCTCCATTGTGTATGTAGCAAAACTCAGGTTGCATTGCAGCAGGTGGTCATAGAATCATAGAATCCTAGAGTTGGAAGAGGCCTCATGGGCCATCCATTCCAACCTCCTGCCAAGAAGCAGGAATATTGAGTTCAAAGCACCCCTAAGAGATGGCCATCCAGCCTCTGTTTAAAAGCTTCCAAAGAAAGAGCCTCCACCACATTCCAGGGCAGAGAGTTCCACTGCTGAACGGCTCTCACAGTCAGGAAGTTCTTCCTCATGTTCAGATGGAATCTCCTTTCTTGTAGTTTGAAGCCATTGTTTCGCGTCCTAGTCTCCAGGGCAGCAGAAAACAAGCTTGCTCCCTCCTCCCTATGACTTCCTCTCACATATTTATACATGGCTATCATGTCTCCTCAGCCTTCTCTTCTTCAGGCTAAACATGCCCAGCTCTTTAAGCCGCTCCTCATAGGGCTTGTTCTCCAGACCCTTGATCATTTTAGTCGCCTCCTCTGGACACATTCCAGCTTGTCAATATCTCTCTTTAATTGTGGTGCCCAGAATTGGACACAATATTCCACGTGTGGTCTAACCAAGGCAGAATAGAGCATGGGGAGCATGACTTCATTGTCACTGTTGACAAATGCAAGATACTCCATTTAGGTAAAAAACAAAATGTAGTTTGCTCTTCTCCACACTCGCATGTCGTGGATTCCACTTTGTAGCCCCATTTCTTAAGGTTGGCTCTGCATCTCGTGGTGCCAGAGCGCAGTCTGTTCAGCACCTTCCAAGTCACCCAGTTTTCTGTGTGCCCAGCGGGGAGTCTCTCATTTGGTATCAGCCATTGATTGAGGTTCTGGGTTTGAGCCTGTCACTTTTGGACTCTCGCTTGCTGAGGTGTTCCAGCGAGTGTGCTGATTGTGCTTCTTTTTAATTTGGACAGATTGTGAAGAGGGATGAGTTTTCAACCAAATGCAACCAGACAGATCATCACCGTATGTCGGGAGGAAGGCAAGAGGTAAGCCTGGTGATGGAAATAAATCGTCACATGATTTTATTTATTTTATTTACTATATTTGTATACCGCCCTTCTCAGCCTCAGGCGACTCAGGATGGTTTACCATGCCAACAATTTGTTGCCCAAAAACACCATAAAACATTAAAAAAATTAACACATAATATAAAACCATAACAAGAATATTAAAACATAGATCATTTGTATCTCTTAATAAAAAACATTGTCCCATCTCATTGTCCATTTAAATATCTCCATAGCTAGCGTCAGGCTTAGACAATGAATTACAAATGGATTGCTGTGAGTTTTCTGGGCTGTATGGCCATGTTCCAGAAGCATTCTCTCCTGATGTTTCACCCACATCTATGACAGGCATCCTCAAAGGTTGTGACGTGTGTTTGGAAACTAGATAAGTGGGGTTTATATACTTGTGGAATAATGTCCATGGTGGGAAAAAGAACTCTTGTCTGTTTGAGGCAAATGTGACTGTTGCATTGGCCACCTTGATAAGCATTGAATGGCCTTGCAGCTTCAAGGCTTGGCTGCTTTCTGCCTCGAGGAATCCTTTGTTGGGAGGTGTTATGTGGTGCTGATAGTTTCTTGTCTGGTTTTCTCCTGTTTTTAAGTGTTGCTCTTTATTTACTGTCCTGTTTTTTTAGTTTTCTTTTAGAACTGGTACTCAGATTTTGTTCATTTTCATGGTTTTCTCCTTTCTGTTGAAATTGTCCAGGAGAGAATGCTTCTGGAACATGGCCAGACAGCCCAGAAAACTCACAGCAACCCAGTGATTCTGTTCCTGCAAACCTCCGACAACACATTGCATTACCAGTGTTTAGGAAAGGGTCTTTCTGTGTGTTTGCTGGAATCCTTATGGTGCCACGGCGGTCAGGTTAGCTCATGGATAAATAATATGATAAGTTTAATAGGTTAAACCCCTGTGCCGGCAGGACTGAAGACCGACAGGTTGCAGGTTCGAATCTGGGAAGAGCACAGATGAGCTCCCTCTGTCAGCTCCAGCTCCCCATGCGGGGACATGAGAGAAGCCTCCCACAAGGATGGTAACACATCAAAACATCCAGGTATCCCCTGGGCAACGTCCTTGCAGACAGCCAATTCTCTCACACCAGAAGTGACTTGCAGTTTCTCAAGTCGCTCCTGACATGACTATGTGTGTGTGTGTGTGTGTGTATGTGTATGTATGTATGTATGTATGTAATGAGTAATAAAAAGCTTGATAGCAAACAAATATATTTTTATATTTCTAGCCTTGAGCATGACAGTCCAGATATTTTTAATTTTGTGACTGCCCAGGGGCACCACAAGATGTATATTTGAAAATGTAGCCTATTGAAGCACACTCACTCTAGTTGTTTGCTGAGCAAATCGTTTATGGCGTAGTTTTCTGCCCAACCACACATTAAAGCCAAAGGTTATTCATGGACTCTGTGTCCACAAAAGTTGGCCACTGTCCAGGTGGATAGTTCAGCTTAGGCTGGGCCCTTGACTTGCATAATGGGAAGGGAGCATTGCTGAGCAGAGAGTGCCTCAGCAATGCGATAGGTTCCTAGCTCTGGCCGAGATTCAAAGTACAAGGCCTTTGGTGCCAAGCTGATCTTCAGCCCTTCCCTCTGTTCCTTCCCATGCAAATTGGTTTTGAAAGCCTTAAGCAAATAGTGTAAGTGGGAGAGAAGGCTTTATGCAATGCCATACAGCCCAGCAGTGGTAAAAGATGGCAAATGGAGATCTCATGCAACTTCCAGTGCTGATTATTTGAAAGCAGGAATGGGGGAAAGGGAGGCAGCCAGCAAGATGCAATAACATCATGTCTTATATAATATATTTGTAACAGTTATTGATCTTATGTACTTTGTAAGCCTGAGGGCAAATTAAAATTTTGGAAGCTGCTCTGAGTGCCTTTGTAGCCCAGGAGTGGGGGAAACATTATCTAAATAAAAATAAAGGCTGTTGTAGAAGGCTTGAATGGCTGGAATCACTGGGTTGCTGTGAGTTTTCTGGGCTGTATGGCCATGTTCCAGATGCATTCTCTCCTGACATTTCACCCACATCTATGGCAGGAATCCTCGGAGGTTGTGAAGTCTGTTGGAAGCTAGGCAAGTGGAGTTTATATAACCGTGGAGTAATGTCCAGGTTGGGAGAAAGAATTCTTCTGTTGGAGGCAAGTGTGAATGTTGCAATTGATCACCTTAATTAGCATTGAACAGCCTTGCAGTTTCAAAGCCTGCTGCTTCTTGCCTGGGAGAAAATCCTTTGTTGGGAGGTGTTTGCTGGCCCTGATTGATTCTTGTCAGGAATTTCCCTGTATTTGAGTGTTGCTCTTTATTTACTGTCCAGATTTTTGAGTTTTTTAAATACTGGTAGCCAGATTGTGTTCATTTTCATGATTTCTTCCTTTCCGTTGAAACTGAAACATTCCCACCTGCCTCAAGAAGACAAGAGCTCTTTCTCTCACTTTGGGCATTCCACAGATATTGTAAGCCATACTTGCCTAGTTTCCAACAGATCTCTGAGGATATCTGACATAGATGTGGGAAAAATATCAGAAGAGAATGCTTATGAAACATGGCCAGACAGCCCAGAAAATTCACAGCAAACCAAAAATAAAGGCTATCTTGATATGAAGGCTCCAGAGAGTAGTACAGACTAGTTTTAAGAGTGATGGTGGTGTTGACAATAACATTAGTGAAAACACAGGTGATGAGTCACAGATGAAACATGCTTTGTCATACTGAGTCATTGTACGGAGCATATTGCCCAAAGGTGTGTTTTCAAATCCTTATGTAGGCAAGCCTGGTAGCTGGGAACACACACTCTCAAACCTTTGCAGAAGTTTGCAGGACCAAGCTTTGTTCCTTCTGCTAACAATGGAGAGAGACTATTTCAGTGGGCCTGCGATGCTTTGTGTTTGCATTTGAGCCTCTGTGCAGTGGACTCCTGTGATATGCATAATGTAGTGGACTGAAGGGCTGCTTGGGCCCTGATTCAGGATGGCATTTCAGGTTATCTGGCTCCATCCCACCCACCCAGCCCCCCCTCCTCCATGTCCAACTTGTTGCTTTTCTTTCCCTGGCAAAACAGAGGGTGAGAGAGAGCACAGTGCAGATGAAAAACACAAAATGTCAGCTGCTTCTGAAGACCAGACATTAGCGCTCATCATCTGACTTGAGGAATTAATGTCACACTCAGCCGGCCGTGCGGAGTTAATGCCGAAACCCTGTTGCTGTGCTCTGGCAAGCAAATGCCTGATGAGTCAAGAAGCGAATGAGTCAGGGATGTAGGCAACGAAGAAGAAGAAATCACATCCGGAGTAATCACGCTCTCTGTGGAAAGATCATTAGGGTAAATTAGGCTATCAGCATCCCCCCAATGGTTCTGTGACTGCTAGAGCAATAAAATAGCACTAAGCCCCTCTGAGAGGAATCTTGATCGTATCCTTGCTCTGTCTGTATGCTGGGGCTTCCATCAAATGGAAATGTTTGAAAGAGAAAATATCTAAGCAAAGAAAGAATTGGGTATAAAAAGGAACACAGTCCATTTTGGTCTTTGAAAAATAGACCGATGTATGGCAACACTGTCCATATATCCCAAGATTTGATCCCAGTTTATCTGCTTTGAACTGGATTATATGAGTCTCCACTAACATATAATCTGGGATAAGCAGATAATCTGAGATCGGGTCCTGGGATATAGGGGCAGTGTGGAGGGGGTCTAAGATAGTGACTTTTCCCCTATGAACAATTATAGTAGTAGTAGTAGTAGTAGTAGTAGTAAATACTTGCCTCTCCTTGCAGCTAGAGGCAGAGTACAATGTCTTTAAAACAAGAGATAAGATAGCATTAAAATACAAGATACACAAAGTTAAAATCTATATAAATAAAAATGTAATGTTTGTTTGTGGGATTAACATAACTCAAAAACCACTGGACAAATTGACACCAAATTTGGACACAATACACCTATCAGGCCAACAAGTGACCATCACACATAAAAACACTGAAAAACACAGTGGAAGAGACTTAAAAAGCCAAAAAATAAATATACATTACAACGCATGCACAAAACCACATATATACACATATACACAAATATATATACACATATACACACACAAAACACATATACACAGACTGAGCCACAGCAACGCGTGGCAGGGGACGGCTAGTTCATTCATAAATACAGATAAAATTCAAATATAAAATGTTAGAAATTCAAGCCCAGGGATGACTGAAGGATTCTGGGAGATGTAGTCCAAAGATGTCACTCTCCCAAGCTCTGTCCATGGTTCTAGGTCTGGGATAGTTGCCTTTTCTACGTAGGATCCTTGCCGCTTCTTAAGATCCTTTCAGAGCCTTGGAAGCCTACAACAGTGACGACTCATTGGCTTTGCTTTTCTTCTTGGGGTGTGGCCATAGGAATTCCGGACCTGGCTGCGAGAGGAATGGGGGCGGACCCTGGAAGACATCTTCCATGAACACATGCAGGAGCTCATCTTGATGAAGTTCATCTACACAAGTCAATACGAGTAAGGAGCAGAGAAATTGTGGGGTCAGGATGGGGAGAGGCAGAAATGGACTAGAAATGTGTCTGTAATGAAAACTGACCATGTCGAACAGCCTTGGAACTCATTCTGCTGTTGGGCTAAACCAACAGCGGAACACCAGGTGTTTTGGTCTTCAACTTTCACAATTCCTAAGGCTGTTAGGAATTGTGGAAGTTGAAGTCCAAAACACCTGGAGGGATGAAGTTGGCCCATACCTGGGCTAAACATCCAAGTCCTGCTTTCATTAAATCAACCTGTGTCAGAAATATTAAAAATTAACTAGATTTTTAATTATAAAAATGTGAGTCAAGCACTGAAAGGGGAAAATGGATGCAGTGACTCAGCAAAAGCTGCAGTTCTATATAAGCAGGTGTGCCTGTAGCTTTGTAAATCTCAGTGTTAGTTCACCTCAGTGTGAGAGAGGCGTCATTCTGAGAGAGCCCTCAGTGTTAGCAGACCTCAGTGGGAGAAAGGCCTCAGTGTTAGTAGGCCTTGGTGTTAGTAGGCCTCGGTGTGAGAGAGGCGTCACTCTGAGAGAGTCCTCAGTGTTAGCAGACCTCAGTATGAGAAGACCTCAGTGGGAGAAAGGCCTCAATGTTAGTAGGCCTCCTTGGTGTTAGTAGGCCTCGGTGTGAGTAGTCCTGGTATGAAAAGCTTTGGTGAGAGAAGCCTGTGTCTGTGTGTTTTTTTTTGTTTTTGTTTTTACCACTTTGGGCAACTGGTGCTGGGTCACGCACCCGATGATAATTTACTCTGTTGTACATTTATGGGGAGGGTCTTTTGTTAATAAGCCCACTCGCCCAACAAACTGTTCATGTGTTTCAGCAACTGCTTGACGTACAGGCGGATCTACCTCCCTCCACGAAGTCCTGACGATCTCATTGAGCCCGGCCTTTTCAAGGGAACGTATGGGAGCCACGGTCTCGAAATAGTCATGCTCAGCTTCCACGGGAAAAAAGCCAAAGGAACAAAAATCACTGTGAGCATCTGGTTTCTCCCTGTTTGAACGTACTTTGCCTTGACTTTGGGGGCTAACTGACATCTGCCCACTTTCTCCAATCACCCCCCCCTTTCCCTCTTATTTATTTATTTATTTATTTATTTAGTACACTTGTATACCGCTAGTATCTCAGCCTAGAGCGGCGACTCACTGCGGTTTACAGCATTTAAAAACAACAATATTCAGATTAAAAATATAAAACACATACATATATAATACACAGTATTGGGCCACCAATACAGACCAATGCATCTCTTAAATGAAAATCATAATCCAATTCGTTGTCGGTAATTGCCTGTCCTTAATCAGAAACATCATCGCGTCGACTTAGCCGAACGCTTGCTCAAACATCCATGTCTTTAGTTTTTTCCGAAATATCATCAGTGAGGAGGCTGATCTTATCTCTATAGGGAGGGCATTCCAAAGCCGCGGGGCCACCACAGAAAAGGCCCTATCTCTCGTTCCCGCCAACCGCACCTTATGGCATGACTCATGTGATCAAGAGAGTAACAGAGGGATGGGCAAACACAGAGCCTTGGGGAATCTCGATGGGGGTGGCAGGTGAGACTAACACATTTGCACAGAGGCAGTTTACTTTGGGGATGGTGTTTGGTTTTCCTGAGGCAGGATGCACTGAGGAGAGACACTGGAAAATTTTTGGAAAGGTTGAAGGAAGAAAGAGTCACAGCCGCCAGCTCTAGTGATATGACCCATCACCCACTGGTCAATGGAATATTCATCAAAACCTTCTCTTAATCTCATTAATGTGGGCTAAAGTGATTAAAGGACTGGAAACCGTGCCCTCTGAGAAACGGCTTAAAGAACTGGGTCTGTTTAGCTGCAAAAGAGAAGATTGAGAGAAGGAGAGGGTCAGGTTTTAAAATGCGAAATAATACTACAACATAATTGGATATTATATATTACATGTAATATTACTAATAATATTGCAGAATGTGGTATAGTACAATATAGTAATATATAATGCTAATATTGTCCTATGCTAATAATATAATATATTGTATATACATATAATTTGTAAGCCGCTCTGAGTCCCCTTCGGGGTGAGAAGGGTGGAATATAAATGTTGTAAATAAATAAGAGGGAGGAATGAGGGACAGGTGGGGACGAGGGACAGGGCCTTCTCGGTGGTGGCCCCTCGCCTGTGGAATGCACTCCCCGTGGATATTAGGACATCAACATCCCTCCTCTCCTTCAGGAAGAAGCTAAAAACCTGGATGTGGGACCAGGCCTTCGAGTAGGCTGGCAGACGGACAAAGACAACCAATAATGACCAGAGTAGGAAAGGAAAATGACAATGCTAAATGGTTTACGGACTTGGACTTGGTGAACACTGACCACAAGATTTATTTTAATTGCTGCTAGTTTATTGTCTGATTATTTAATCAGTTATAACTGTGATATTATGTGTTAAATTGGTGTATTGTATATTGCATTGTATGTTGTAATTGTTAGGCATCGAATTGTGCCTTTTGTAAGCCGCCCTGAGTCCCCCCCTAGGGGGTTGAGAAGGGCGGGGTAAAAGCACCCCAAATATAAATAAATAAATAAATAATAACCCACTTTAGCACAGAAGGTTAATTACCAGCTGCAGCTGCAGTAAATCTTGCCAACCTAAAGGTTGACAGTTCGAAGTGGGGTCAGGGTGAGCTCCTGACCTTCAGTCCAGCTCCCCCCGCCCACCTAGAGGATCAAAAACAGCAGTGTGAATAGATGAATAGGAACAACATTTAAGGGGGAGGTATTTTAGGCATGGCGTTTTGGAGGAACGTTTATGAACAAAGAAAGCTCTTCGGCAAAGAGGTGGAGCGACAGCACCCCCCTGTGGCCAGAACTGAGCACAGCCTCCAAAAGATTCTGAATGATGAGAAAAGCTTAAATATACCTCTGTCTGATCTCTGTCTTGTCATTGTATAATAGGCATTGAATGTTTGCCGTATATGTGTTCTGTGATCTGCCCTGGGTCCCCTTCAGGGTGAGAAGGTCAGAATATAAGTACTGTAAATAAATACATAAACAAACAAACAATTTATTTCTGTCCCGCCTCTCCTCTGGGCTCGAGGTGGCCATTGTAAAACATACTCTCACCTAAAAACATTCTTTAAAATAAACATTTAAAATTACACACAATACATCTTAAAATACACAAAACAGAGATTAAACATAAGATGCAAGTTTAATAAGTGTCATTAAAATGGTCTGAGTAGGCCTGCCGGAAGAGATAGGCCTTGACTTGTGTCTTGAATTGTGACAGCTGGCAATATGACTGATTCTTAAACTGGCAGAAAAAGGGGGAAAGGGAAAATTGGGCTTGTGGAATGGAAATGAACGAGTGAAAAGGTCTGGACAGGTAGACCATCCAAGGCAAAAGTTGGTGGCAATAGACAAAGAAGGAAAAAGGTAAAATCAATTTGTTACTGTTGTTGGAATAACAGTGTGGATGGTGGTTTACCCTGGCTGCAAAGCATTTGCGTGTTGTTGGAAAATAATAATAATAATTTTCCTTGCTGCCCATCTTCCCCAGGGTGACCCCAACATCCCAGCAGGACAGCAGACGGTAGAGATCGACCTGGCACATCCCATCCGGCTCCCGGATATTGAAAGCCTGAGTAACTTCAGCGAACTCTCCCGGATTGTCCTGGAAGTGCAAGAGCGGGTGCGGCGAGAGCAGCAGCAACAGCAGCAGGAAGAGGAAGGCCTCCTCCAGGGAGAGAAGGGTCAGGAGGAGGAGGCGCTTCAGCCGGGGGCGGCTGTGCCGGAAGGGGATGGAGCAGAGGCCCCAGCCGAGGAGGAAGAGGGGGCAGCTGCCCAAGCGCCTTCACCTTGCCCTTTTGTCCTGCCCGGTGGCATTGCCTCCAGGAACGAAGATTATCCTCGGACCTGCAGAGCATGGTAAATGGGATTCCTTCCCACACTGCACTGTTACAGCCCTATATTCCACTTTTAACTGCCATAGTAAACACTCTATCAAATTCAGTGACTCGAGTATAAGCTGAGGGTGGGAAATGCAGCCGCTACTGGTAAATTTCAAAATAAAAATATATACCAATAAAATTACATTAATTCAGGCATCCATAGGTTAAATGTTTGTGAATATTTACATAACACTGTAATTTAAGATAAAACTGTCCAACTTTGATTAAACCATTATTCTAACCTCCTTCGATGTAAATGTGCTTACGTATCCTTCCAATCATAATAAAGAGAGTAAAATCATAAATGTAATAATAACAATAATAAAGTAAAATAATAAATGTAATAATAAATAAATAAGAGTAAAATCATAATTGTAATAATAATAATAAATGGAGTAAAAGAATAAATGAAATAACAATAATAATAGAGTAAAAGAATAAATAATAATAATAAAGTAAAATAATAAATGTAACAATAACAATAATACATAGAGTAAAAGAATTATAAATAGAGTAAAATAAATGTAATAATAATAGAGTAAAATAATAAGTGTAATAAAAATAATAAATAGAAGAAAAGTAATGTAGTAATAATAATAAATAGATAAAATGTGAAATGTAATAAAAATAATAATAGAGTAAAATAATGTAAATGTAATAATAATAGAGTAAAATAATAAAATTAACAACAATAATATAATAATAAAAATAATATTAATAACAGAGTAAAATAATATATAACCTTGACTCAAGTATAAGCTGAAGGGGGCTTTTTCAGCCTAAACAAAGGGCTGGAAACTTGGCTTTTACTGAAGTATACCGTAATAATAATAATAATAATAATAATAATAATACATCTTTATTTGTATGCTGTTTTTCTCCCACAATGGGACCCCAAAGTGGCTTCCAACATGTTAAAAACACAATACAAACTTAAACAATATATGAATATAAAACATTGTAAGAAATTAAATGTGACCCTATCACAGAGTTGCCATTCTCTTCCTCTGAAGCTGAGAAGGCATGACTTGCCCAATGCCACCCTGTGAGGTTATTATTGTTATGTTTATTTACATCCCGTGTTTTCTCTCCATGAAGAGACTCAAAGCGGCTTACATTCAGAGCATTTCAATGCAATTTAAAATATACAAATATTTAAACAGAATTAAATATTATTAGTATTTAAATCAATTTAGTTTTTTTTTAAAACCATAAAAACATATTCAAAACTAAAAAACACAGGTTTCCATGACGTTCCCTAAACCCCATGGTAGGGTCACCACAAATTGAAAACGAAGTAAAGGTACACAACAACATACAGTAATGGAAGAAGAAGGGGGAAAAAACACCAAAATACCGTTAGGAACAAAATCAGGTGGGATAATTTTTTAAAAAACTACATTCTTAGAAGAAATGCAGAATAATCCTCCATACAAAGAAAAATCTCTTTCATAGAAAGGAAGCTCTCTTGCAACTTCTCAGTAACAAGTCAAAGGCAAGAGGTAGCAGAGGTGGAGGCTCAGCCTTGCTCTGCATCCCTTTGGAGAGTTTGGAAGGCTCTGCTCCAAGGAGAATGCAACCTTCCTCTCCACCTCCCCCTTCTTCTCCTTTTGCCTCATCCCTGAGAAGTAAGAGCCCTCCCAAGAGGGAAAAAGAAGGAAGCGACAGAAGAGAGGAAGACTGTGTTCTCTTTCCAGCAGAGGCTTCCAAACTTTCCAAAGTGATGGTGCTTTTGGGCTGCGTGTTCAATGAATTGGGTTGGCTGTCGGCAAAGGGGAGCCATGTGGGTGAGTGAGTAAGAGAAGTGGAGGCCCTTCAGGGTTTTGAGGTGGCATCTCAATCCCACCAGCTAGGTTAGGTGTGATTCTAATGCACCATCAAGTCTAATGCGCATCCTGATTTGAGAGATATAGGTAAAGATAAAGGTTTCCCCCCAACATTAAGTCCAGTCGTGTCTGACTCTGAGACTCTGGTGCTCATCTCCATTTCTAAGCCAAAGAACTGGCGTTGTCCCTAGATACCTCCAAAGTCATTTGTAACGCAATGGAATAACAATTTGACATGGAGACACTCCCACACAGAACCCCCATGTGGGCCACAGCAACACGTGGCAGGGGATGGCTAGTAAATAATAAATAAACGTGGCTGTCATGACTACATTGAGCGTTGTTACCTTCTCACAGAAGCAGTACCTATTGATCTACTCACATTTGCATGGGTGTTCCATAGCCGAGGGGCCACCACTGAGAAGGCCCTTTAAACTTGATATGTATGGTGGAAGATGTATAACAGTTACTGACATGTATTATCTCACAATTCAGCAGCAGAACAGTTGCACAAATTCAGCGCTTTCCAGTAGCTTCTTCCTGCACAGTATTTTCAGTCAACTGCTCCCACAGACTGCTCCCATACTCTGGAACTCTTTACAGACACCTTAGCACATGCCCGGCTATTGTCAGTTTTACCATTGTTTTCCCCCCGCAATCTAGATGACACTACAAACTTATCACAGCACACGGTTATATCTTGTCTTAACAGACAGGTTCTTTTAACACAGAGCCTTCGGCAAACAGAATCACAGCACAAGGAGAGAGAATACACTGTACATGACTTCCTTATATACAATTCTGTACATTTACACATAGCAATCTCTGATTGGTTCCCAACTAATTGATTTAACTCAAACCCAGGATTGCATCATTCGCACCCACCTGGACCAGGCCAGAACACATTCCTCAAATGATGTCCTATATGCAGTTAATGCATGACTCAGCATTTCCAATAGAAGCCTATTAGCAGTGCATGACTCAGCTATATTACATTACAATACATTGTAAATTCCTTACGCCTGCTGTCTTGTGATGCCAGGCATCTGACCTGTGAAAAGTCTCATTGTGCCTCTGGTTTCTCTTTATGCCCAGCTTCTACGGCACGGGCCTCATCGCCGGCCACGGCTTCACCAGCCCTGAGCGGACGCCGGGCGTCTTCGTCCTGTTCGACAACGACCGGTTCGGCTTCATCTGGCTGGAGCTGCAGTCCTTCAGCCTCTACAGCCGGATCAAGGTCTCCTTCCAGAACGCGGAGGCTCCCTCCCAAGATGCCTTTGACGAAATGCTGAAGAACATTCAGTTGCTGACCTCCTGATGCCGGCTGCCTGGGAGCTGAGGGGTGGGGGGAGCAGCGATCCGCGTTTTCGCCTTTCCCATATTGCGATGAGCCTCGGAGCGAGAGACAGCCGCATGCACTTCTCCATATGGCCTTCTTCTTCTCCCCAAAACGTGCTCACACACGCTCCTTAGCACACTAACCGTACTTCCCCAGTATATGTATAGTTTGTAATATAGCTCTGTATATTTGAAGGGCTGCCGAATGAGGCAGCAGCTTCGCATGCTTGTGTTGGATTTTGGGTTTGTTTGTTTTGTTTTTTTGGGATTTTTTTGCAGACATCCCCGTCCCCCACCCCTCAATTTAAATTAAGACAAATGAGTCCATATCCTGGCATTCAGTGTAGATAATCCAAGTGGGATTTGTGTGCGTCTGTATATTAAACGAATTATGGCTTTGGGATGTTCTTCATTCTGTCGCTTTGGGCTTCTCTTCTGAGCACGTCCTTCCGGCTTCAGAATTGTGATTGCTTTGTAAAATAGTGACCTGCAATTAACTAATGATGGGTTTTGGAAGTGGCTCTGTCCCTCTTTGGGCCTGGGACGTTTCTTCTTCAAATGTAAATACAAAATAAAAGGCTGGAATGGATTTGGGGGTTGCCAGGCCCTGAATGTCGCAAGGATAAAAACAATGGAGAAAGTATGCATACCAGTGGTATTTCTTGCCTTGCAGCACCAAAGGATTTTCCCATCATTACAGCCTTTATCTTCTGCCTGCCTTGGGGAGATTGGATTGGGGTATTAGCCTTCGGAGGAGTTGCCACTGTTGTTTACGGTCTTTGCCTTCAAATGACCGAGTCAGAATTTGGCCATCAATGTGGGGTTGTTCTGCATTTTATGAGTTTTTTTTTGGGCAGTGGAGGCACTTACTGATGTATTTAATGGTGGAAGGTAGATTATTATGTAAAACTATAAGGAAACCCCTCTTCTCTCCAAAATAACAAGCCAGGTCTGCCTCCTGAGCTGTGGTGAAGCTGCAGTCAACCCTCTGTACTCTCCCTGATCTTTTCTTTCCCCACTGTGTCTTTGTAGAAATTCTGGGTCCTTCAGAATATTTAGACGTGGTAGTTCTAAATCAATCACACTTTTGTGCCTCCTTCCACTGATGCAGGCTTTGCCAAAATTGAAGGCAGGTTCCTGGTTGGTATTAAATAAAAGGTAAAGGTTTCCCCTCGACATTAAGTCTAGTCGAGTCCAATTCTGGGGGTTGGTGCTCATCTCCATTTCTAAACCGAAGAGCCGGTGTTGTCCGTAGACATCTCCAAGGTCATGTGGCCAGCATGACTGCATGGAGCACCACCACCTTCCTGCTGGAGTGGTACCTATTGATCTACTCACATTTGCCTGTATTTGAACTGCTACGTTGGCAGAAGCTGGGGCTAACAGCGGGAGCTCACCCCTGCTCCCCAGATTCGAATCTGCAACCTTTCGGTCAGCAAGTTCCGCAGCTCAGTGGTTCAACCCACTGGGCCATTAGGGGCTCCTAGCTTGCTAGAATTCAAAATAACATTTTGAAGCATTGCTAGAGAATTCAGAACAGCAGCTTCCCTTTGGGCAAGTCCACGCCAATCCTGTGAAGAAGCCCAAACTGCTTTCTTGTGGTGCCACTTGGCCATGGTCTGTGCTCTGGAATGCCTAGTGCTCTTTTCCTAGTTTATTTACTTATTTATTTTGCATATTTGTATCGCGTCCTTCTCACTCCCGGAGGGGGGACTCTGGGTGGCTTTACAACAGGCATTCATTCAGTGCCAACAACAGTCATAAATAATAATAGCAATTAAAACAATTCATTAAAACATTAAATTACTGGAACATTTGTTTAAAAGGTTTAAAATCATAGTCTGGGTCAGTCCATTGTCATTCACACAAATCGGGTCTTATTCTTGATTGCTGCCTCTACTGTTTGAGCACTTGGTACCATAACCAGGTTTTGACTTTCTTTCTAAAGGACAGGAGGGAGGGGGGGCCAATCTGACATCACTCGGAAGAGAGTTCCACAGGCAAGGGTCCACCACTGAGAAGGCCCTATCTCTCAGTTGCATTTGCGAGGATAGTGGGAGCAAGAGCAGGGCCTCCCCTGCCAATCTTAAACTTCGCACTGGTTCATAGCGGGAGATGCGCTCAGACAGGAAAGCTTGGCCAGAACCGTTTTAAAATTATTGGGACAACTTACGGGATCCTTACTTACTTAGGTGATCCCTCGTTGGCTGAGTAGGATAGTCTTCCAGGATCGGTATTCTGGTGGGTCCGTAGGCGACTGTGGAGCCCTATTCTTCATCTGCATCTTCTTCCGTAGTGAGGGAATTGGTTTCCAGTGGAAGGCGGTCTTGGTTGGGGTTGGCTTGACGCGCCTTCCTCTTGGCACATTTCTCTCTTTCACCCTCCATTCGTGCCTCTTCAAATTCTGCAGCACTGCTGGTCACAGCTTACCTCCAGCTGGAGCGCTCAAGGGCCAGGGCTGCCCAGTTTTCAGTGTCTATGCCAGAGTTTTTAAGGTTGGCTTTGAGCCCATCTTTCAATCTCTTTTCCTGCCCACCAACATTCTGTTTTCCGTTCTTGAGTACGGAGTAGAGCAACTGCTTTGGAAGATGGTGGTCGGGCATCCGGACAATGTGGCCGGTCCAGCAGAGTTGATGGCGGAGGACCATCGCTTCACTGCTGGTGGTCTTTGCTTCTTCCAGCATGCTGACGTTTGTCCGCCTATCTTCCCAAGAGATTTGCAGAATTTTCTGGAGGCAGCACTGATGAAATCATTCCAGGAGTTGCATGTGACCTCTGTAGACAGTCCATGTTTCGCAGGCGTATAGCAGGGTTGGGAGGACAATAGCTTTATAGACAAGTACCTTGGTATCCCTACGGATGTCCCGGTCCTCAAACACTCTCTGCTTCGTTCGGAAAAATGCCGCACTCGCAGAGCTCAGGCGGTGTTGTATTTCAGTGTCGATGTTGGCTTTGGTGGAGAGGTGGCTGCCAAGGTAGCGGAAATTATCAACGTTTTCTAATGTTACACCATTAAGCTGTATCTCTGGCATTGGAAAGGGGTTGGCTGGTGACTGCTGGAACAACACTTTGGTTTTCTCGATGTTCAATGACAGGCCGAGCTTCAGACAGGTAAGCTGGGCCAGAACCGTTTTAAAATATTGGGATATTTTACAGGATCCAGCCAACTATGGAGAGCTAAGGCTGCTTCTGCCTTCACAGGTCTACTTCCACAGGCAAAACGAAAGAGAAGATGTCCCTGCCCTGAAGAATTTACAATCTAGACATCCAGAAAAAGAGATAGCATGAGAGTAAGGTAATAGTAAATAGACACAGGAGGGCTTGATATACGTTTAAGCTTTGCTTCCATTGAGGGGAATCCTAGCTTTCTGTTCTTGGCCAGGCTTCAACTGTGTGTAAAGCTAGATGCCTTTTTCTCCTGAAGGAAAAGGAGGTGCAAGTTATTCTAAAATAGGAAAAATACTTTTCTCCTGTTGGCCTTTCAACCTCACAGTGCCATAACTTCCTGCAATGAACATAGGTACCTCCCACAGTAATCCGGCATGCTGAAGTAATGTTCAGCATCTAAGAACAGTAATGCAATCTCTCTGCTTGGGTCTTGTTCAGCATACTCTATTATATCTATCACCGTTCTCACATTCCGGCTCAGCTTAAGCGGCTGAGGGGGAAAAGGAAAGGGCCTGAGGCCAGGAATTGTGGGAGTTGAAGTCCAAAACACCTGGAGGGCCCAAGTTTGCCCAAGCTTGGTCTATCATAACACTTCAGCAATGACATTTAGCTCAACTTTCTGCATAATTCCAGATGCAACACAGATGTGTCTACATATGGCTATGTTTCATTCACACTTAGTAATGCAAGTGCACCTTTTCTATGGGCCATTATTTTGATAGGAATAGGATTATATATTATTATTATATGAAGGGTACATATTTCCCCTGACCCACTTCTATTTATCACAGGACGCTGAAACTGCACATATGTAATGATATAAATCTCTCTCGGTTACGTGCCAATTTCCAACTCAGAACTGATAACGGTCTTGATTTGGCAGGTGCTGAAATGGTGTGAGGTTTGAGAATGGACCCAGTGGAATACACAGCAGTGCTCAAGTTCCTTGACTTGCAAGGCCGGACACCAAAGGAGACGTTCAATGTGATCAAAGAGGTTTATGGTGAGGATTCCCCATCATATGATGGCGTCAAGAACTGGCATCGTCAGTTCCAATGTGGTCGGACTTTGGTTTGTGTCATTCGAAAATACATCACACAGTCCTAGGCACTTGGGAAGTGTTCATCTTGTGATTTTGTGATACGAAATCCAGCATATAGATCTCGTTTGCTGTAACATACTGTGGTTTCGTCTCAGTAAAATAATAATAATAAGTGCTGTGTTGTTATGTACAAATAAATCTATAATAACATATAATCCACAGCACCAGTTAGTAACCAGGCTGCCGCCCATTGTACCAACTGAAATTTCCGGGCCATTTTCAAGGGCAGCCCCACGTAGAGTGCATTACAGTAATCCAACCTAGAGGTGACTAAGGCATGGACTACCCTGGCCAGGTCTGACTTCACGAGGTACAGTCGCAGCTGACACATGAGTCTTAATTGTGCGAAGGCCCTCCCGGCCATCACCGACGCCTGAGCTTCAAGCGTAAGTGATGAGTCCAGGAGGACACCCAAACTGCGGACCTGTGACTTCAGGGGGAGTGCAACCCCGTCCAGCACAGGTTGCCACCCTATACCCCGATCCGGCTTACGATCGACCAGGAGGACCTCTGTCTTGTCGGGATTGATCCTCAGCTTGTTCCTCCTCATCCAGAGATCTGCCACAATAAGCTTTCTTTCTTCTCTTGTGCAAATCAGCTGCCCTCTAGTGACATAGACTTGATCCTACAATGGACATTTGGCCATAACCGGATGAACCTCCTTTCCATGTCACTTCAGACCACAACAGTGTCTTTTATAGGCGGAATTATATTTGTATTAACATAACTGTTGTACTCCAGAGCAGGACCACCTCTGACCTTAGACACCACACCAGCTTGGTAAAATCATCAAGCAGTTTATTTAAGATTATATGTAAGCAAAGCAGTAAAAAATAGCAAAACCAGTAAATATCCAATATAAGAAATAGTCCATCAGCTTCACAGGAAAACAAGATCTATGAGTGCATAAAAATCCATGAAACTAGGCACTTGAACCCACGAAACAAGACAGCAAAAAAACCTCAGAGACAAATCCTTCGATTGCAATTGTGTTATTGTAATTTTATATCGTTATTTATTCACATGTTTTATGTAATTATGATGTTGTGCTTTGTTGCGTTTTCGGTTTGTGTTTTCGGTCTTATTTTATTGTAATTTTGTTGTTTGGGCTTGGCCTCACGTAAGCCACTCCGAGTCCCCATTGGGGAGATGGTGGCGGGGTATAAATAAAAATTATTATTATTATTATTATTATTATTATTACTACTACTATTCGACAATGTATTCTCATAGACAAATCCTGAGCTTGGCAAAAGCTTGGTACATGAAACTCAGAGCACTTGAAAGCAAGACCATGATAAAATAACAACGTTGACCCAATTGAGGCAACTCACCCATGAATCATTATAATGCCTTTTCAAATCCCAAAACTG